TCATCACAGGAGTGGTTTCGGCGAGTTGGCAATATACTAAGAGTTTGTGACTTATCTAAAGTCAAACCTTGTTAATTTTCGGTCTATTAACTCACTTCAAACACCGATGTTTAATCTTTGAACATTATGGCTTCGTTCAATTTGATAACACTTTGTGAAAGTACTATAATGCAATAAATTATAACAAACAAGTCTCTCCTCGGTGCTCTAAGCATTTTGAAAATTTATTCGATCTTTAGCATGTAATTGATCTTTAAGAAAGCCACTTCTGTTATATTGTTTCCCCTAGACTGTGATTTTATTTTGAATTCACAAAGGCATTTCCAAAGTTCCAATGTTCATTCTTGGTCAGCGCTCTGCCACATCTTTCTTGGAAGTTATTTTTGTTTTGCTTGATTTCATTGCATCAAGCCAATCTATTAGAATACTACACTAATCAAGACCTTTTGGCTCAGTTCTGAGAGTATCTATTTGCTCATGTGAATTAACAGTATTCTCAAAGTTTTGAACTTATTGAATGCTTACTATGGTTGGCAGCTAGTGAATGTACTGGATGGTTCTCCCTAAACTCCTGTACACTTATACTCCCAGCAAGGTCCATCTATTATCATGTAAGCGCATCTGTTTCAGAAAACAAATAAAACATAAAATCTCCAGTTCTTCTTTCTCCTGTGTCCACTGTATGGATAGTTTCTGATAAATATTATTTCTGTCTAAGCTTCAGTTGCTCGGATGCGAAGCTTTTCATTTGCTAATTTTGCTAGTGTGTTCAATTCTATACTGGTAGTTTTAAAGCAGTTTTCCAAATGAACATCTGTTCATATCTTGGTTTTATTTTTCAGGTTATCTCATTACTCTACTCATGAACTGTTGAGTAACTGAGCATGTCCGCGTTTGTTTATTCAGTGAAGGTTCACCATGCATTTTAGCTGCTTTGCACTTAACAAATCACATCTGCACACTGACACTGCTATCCCATTATAATTTCCATGCAAGGTATTCTTGTACTTTTGTGTAATTTTATGAAAAGGTCAGGAGGGTATGAGTATTTTCTCAAGACCTTTGAACATCTTCCCCTTGTCATCCTGATGTCTCGGGTTGTGACCAGTCTGTGATCAGACGCAATTATTTTAAAAGGTTTATATCTTTCTCATGGCTTGCTTGGAGATTAATCCAGTATCATTTTAAACTGCCTTCACAAATTTCAGTAACCCAAGTTTGCAAAAGTTTTAAGAATTCAAAACAGCTAAAAGGAATTATTATCAGCTTCAAGTTAAGCATTCATACCAGACAAGACAGTGTTTTGGATTAAACTCACGTGTTTTAAACATCCTTTTGGGTAGGAGTGTTTTTTTTCTTGGTTTTTTTTGTATAATCAAAACTATTAAACAAATAAATCAGCTCAAAATTACAGATAGTAGGAACTGCAGATGCTGGAAAATCTGAGATAACAAGGAGTAGAGCTGGATGAACACAATTTGTAATTAACATGAGTAAACATTTAAATTTTAAAACTTCCAGTTTTACATTTGAATAATTTGAGTCTGGATCTAAAGACCTCCACATATGTGGAAGTAATAACCAGCATTTCACAAAGCACTGTGGAAATCTGATTTTTCACAACCGGACAGGTTAGTTAACCATAATTCCAATTTATGTCCATCTAATATTTATTAACTAAACACAGACCAGAGAAGCATAAGCTTTAAAGTGAAAAGATAAATTGCCCCTTTTTTTTTATTCTTTCATCTGGCACCGTTAAAATTGATTAATAAAACTGATAAAAGTTCAATTTTTGCAGTTAAATAAAACTTTCACCATTCTTATGCCAAAGAGTTAAGGGGAAAAGCTACCCACAGCTCAAGTCTGCAGCATCTATACCAGCCTCTTGAAGGACTGCAAGGCTGAAATGTTGGCTCTTTAATAGTAGAAAGGGGGCACAACCTTTTCCATATATCCAGTCATTTATCCTTTTTCTTCATGGAACCAATTTCCAGTTTCTAATGTTTGCTGCTTCACCTTGTTTGGAAGCATAGTCAATAAGACATGTCTTTAACTTTTCTGCAAAAAAAAATTGCAACAGTTTTGTTTAAACTCAATAGAATTAAGCCAGTTTTCTTAAGTTTCATTTGGATTTCTGCTGGACAGGCTGAAGCTTATTGCATGTAAAATAAACTCTTTGCAGCTACAAAGCTAAATTTTCAACTAGTTACAACTAATTAACTTGAGCTTCTAATATTGAAACAAGACAGTAAAGGTTAACTACTGTTGGATCTGCAGAAAAGAATGTACATTTTTTAAGACAAACCTGCATTCAAAGGTTAGAAAATTTCCATCTGCTCTAGTTCGCAAAAACAAAACCAAAATTAATTTACTTTTCCCTTAAAATAAGAATGTTGGCTATCTCTTGTCTGCAGTTTTTTTTAAAATGTTTAACAAATCCGCATCTGAAAGGTTGTTAGACTGACGCATTCTGACCATTTTATCTGACTGTTCTCCTTCAGTAGGATGTGTGTCTGCATAACTCAATGGCTGGCTCCATCTACTGGGGACTCCTAGCAGGGATATTGAAAATACATGAGACCTGCAAAAGGAAGGTGTACCACAGCCTGTGGATTCTTTTTATCCTCTTTTCACAAAACTAGAGCAGTCTAAGCAAACATTTCATTCCTTGGTGTATCCCTGCCCTGAAACCTTCCTCCATTTTCCAAATACACTCAACTATTTGTATGGTGTTCGCCTGCAGACCATGGAGAACTGATAAGATAGGATTGTGAATGTATTGGACACCTGTTGTATCCACTAGATAACTATCTCTGCTTGCTTATGTGGTCTATCATACTTATTGCACCTGAGTGGATATGCATACACAGAATGGGTGTGGCTAAATTTCACAGAACACCTCTGCTGGCATGGATTTGATGCTGGCATTCTAACACTGGCAAATGTGTTTTCATGCTGATACTAGTTCGTAACTTTCTGGAAATCCGGGACACTTACCAATAGTTACCATTCTTTGGCCATATGTAATAATCTTTAATTCAATCATGAGTTATTTTACTTTGAAATGTATACAAAGTTTGAGGCATCCAAATTACTGACACAAATGAGTTTTAATGATTGCAAAGTGAAAACTGCAAGTTTCAAGTTGTATTTGTCCTCTTTCTACAAGACTACAGTAATTTGGTTTCGACAATTGGAAATAAAAAGTCAACTACTCTTTTGCTTTTAGGACCTGAATATTGTGCTCAGTTTATATTTTGCACTGTGTTCAGTTAACTGAATGTTTAGCTATTACAGAACTAATCTTTTGAAGTTTTTTGCATGTGAATTATCAGTTTGCTTCAAGGAATATAGATGCTAGTGAATTGGTGGTAGCTTGCCACATTTAGAAAGGTGTTTCTCTCATTTGTGCAGTGATTAGTTTGAATTCCTCCTGTGGCAGGAATGTTTATGCATGTGGAGAGAGATAATGTCAAGGCACTGAATTATTTTTCTGTTTTTGAAACCTGTGTCAACATCAGTTACACCCTAACCAAATGCATAAAAAACTAGGTTCAGATTAAAAGATACTACCAGGAAAGGCCAGAAGAATTGAATTGGAGTATGTAGCTTCAACTGAAGCTACAAACAGCCATAAGTAAACTTTGGACTGTCATATTTCTGTGATTGTGTAACTTCTAACCCTTTCCTGCAACTCATCAAAACAAGCTGTATTTTACGAGAGACAACTGTGTGAGCTGGAGGAACACAGCAGGTCACACAGCATCAGAGGAGTAGGGAAGTTGATGTTTCCGGGATCCTGACCTGAAATGTCAACTTTCCTGCTCCTCTGATGCTGTCTGACCTGCTGTGTTCCTCCAGCTCCGCACTTTGTTGTCTCTGACTCCAGCATCTGCAGTTCTTGCTATCTCTGTATTTTACTAGAGTTTTATTTCAATTCCCACAAACTTAGTACTTCAATGAAGTTTGTTTCTTCAGAATTATGGATAGCTTTGTATATTGAATTAATAATGTGACACAACCATCTCAATAACATTAGAGTAGAAGCTTTCATCTTTTTTTAAATCCCCAAACCCACATCCATTAAATTCTGGACTGCATTTGACCAAAGATCTCATGTGAAAGATGTTTAAGTAACTTCCATTAAATTTATTTACATTTTCTATTTTAGCCTTTTAACAGACTAATTTTTTTGTTGTAAGTATTAACCGTTTAGTCAGACTATTGAAGTCAAAAGAGTAGTATGGTGCTTAGTTTTTGAATCATTTATATAGTATAATTCGGCCCAATTTTCCAGATTGAAAATTGTGCTGCAAAGTAATTATTCATCTACCAGTTTTAAACTTGTGTCGAAGATAAAAGTCATTTGTAATTTTTAATTTGCTGTACCAAACTTTATGCTATAGAGATACGGCAGCTGGTATTTTTTCATTGTTAATAATTGTTCAGACACAGTCTGGTTTATCATCAAAGTCTGAAGGCTTGACTTTTGCCTTCATATCTAAAGTAAGCTTTGCAAGTACTACAAGTGCATTATTCTGATTCCTGTAATTGTGTAACTTACTGTTAACATGGTTTTTTTTCTTTTCATACAGTTAAATTGCATTCATTAGCTGCCTGTCATCTCAGCCCTCTCCCCGCAGTCCAAGACACGTGTTTGCATAATAAATCTCTATCTACTGACCAAATAAATCTTGAAACTGGCTGGCAAAAATCATGCAGGATGAAATAAACTATATATAGGGATTAACTATTGTATTTCACCATTGAGTTTTTGCAGTCTTTATCTGTGGTACTTAATTTCTGTTTAGATGATCACATATATTTATCCCATTGTCAATAACTGCCCTGAAGCACCCAAATCCTTGGTTATGTTTTGGTGCTATAATTTAATGAGTTGATTTTGAAACCTTAACTTTTAGAACTGTTTCTTCAAACAATGGCAGCAATTTGACATTTGATGTTCTAGGTGAAAGCCTTTTGAAAAAGTTAATGTTTCAGACAGAACTATGTCTGAATAAGGTAGTGTCAGCATGATCACCATTGATGCTGACAACAAAATCATTCTGCCTTGTTTTCTTTGGATTAAGTAACACAGGAAATCCAGAAACTGTCTTGTCAAAGTTCTCCATGGCAATTTTGTAGTATCCTTTGGAAGTGCAGCTTATCACAGAGGCGAACTGTTGATTGAATTTGATTTCCTCTGGGATATATGAGGTTCTCTTTTGGTAAGTCTCACCTGTGCCTTCCTGTTCCGCTGACAAAATAATTACTATCTCATAGTAGGCTGGCATCTCTCCTTGTATCAGTGGATAAAGCGGGCTATTTTGATTGATAGTGTGGCAGAACGTGAGTGGGAAAGCAAGGTATGGGCATTCGTTAGAGTTCATGTTGTCAATGTGGAAGTCCAGGGTTGTCTGGTGAAGATGTTGGTCTTTGTATTCTTGGTATAAAATAGCAGTTACTTTAACATGTGTTAATGGATTTTGCCTTACATTGGCTACTCTAAACATCAGGCAAAGCTCCCCTTCATGGTGTCCAACAGTAGCAAAGTAACTGAATTTAATTGCAGTTGCTCTTAGTTTTGGCCTGGAAATCTTTGCAACAAAGGCACCTGTAAAAATGAACTGTTGTAAGTAAAGCTTTGGGTGGTGAAAAATCATTTTCAGCACTAAACATTTCTATATTATTAATTGTAGAAGGTTTGAAACATAATGACCTCCATCCTTCTACAAGCATTCCAATGTATAACAGTCTTGAAATAAATTGAACATGCAGCCAATCATTGACTCTCATATTATTTCAGATGTATAAGACAACACTGAAAAGGACTGTATTTTTCATTGCTTAAAGATGCAAAATTTTAAGTTCTTAAATGTTCTTATTGCGATTTCACAAATTTTTAAGCTGGTTCGATAGCTGCAGAAATTGAGTTATTCGGACTGTTTCAGAGCCTAGCAGTATTTATCATGAATTCTATTAAAGAAGAATTACCTGTAATTAAAGCTTCCACCATAAGTCCCAGTAACATTTGGACAGCAAGGAGCACAATGGCTGCAGGACAGTCACCATCAGGGTACATGGTTCCGTAACCAATCGTGAGCTGAGTTTCCAGTGAGAATGAGAAGGCTGCTGTAAAGCTGTCGATATATTTCACACAGATGGTGTGGTTTCCTGGAGGGTTGTTATGATCTGGCAAATCTAAATCCCCGTTTGTGTATGCCAATAAATACCAAAAGCAGGCAAAAAAGAGCCAATGAGTAATAAAAGCTCCTGAGAAAGTCAGTAACATCCAACGCCATTTCATTTCCATTAAAATTGGCCAGATATCTTTTAGGTAGATAATGCTTTTTCTACTGAGGGTCTCTGTCTTTAGATTGCTGTGCCCATCCTTAGAGACAATCCTTTTGTACCAGGAGGCCACTAGTGGTGCTGTGTCTTTTTTGTCATTATCGTTGAAAGCCATGTGTCTTATTTTCCTTTACTGGTTTAGCTGTAGAACATATTGTCAAAATGTTAATGTTTGCAGCCAGGTTTAATTGTCTTCCCATTATCTATATTTATCTTTTTTAGCAATTACTCATGTATTGTGGATTTGCAAGATTACTTATTTATCTATTAACTGATTAAGTAACCTTTCACCATATTTGCGCAAATGATTCCATCCGAAAAGGTAGAGCTCGTGTACTCTTCCAGTTTATATTGATTTGGTTGTTTCAGTAAGGTATGGACTTGCAACTTCGCGAAATTCTCATTCTTTACAAAAAAATGCATGTTTGAGAATGGAAGCTAATTTATGAGAGCACTTAACTTTCTACAATGCAATGTTGTTGTAGTTGGGAGACATTGCATTTGGCGTATGTTCAGATTAAGTCTAATTTTTCCATTTTTCTGACCATTGTATGTATCAGTTTTGCATTAAATCTGGCTTTTCAGAGAGCACATTAGAAGTATGACAGTAATTCATTATCAGATATAGATAGTATATCAAGATTTAAACGAAATTCCACAAATTAAAACATTTTGAACAGCCAGTTTGCAGATTTCTTCCTTCAATTCAACTGGTAAGGATCTGATTTAAAAAAAAATATTCATGGAAGTTTTTTTAATTCTGTGTAAATGTAGTAAGCGTGTTCAGTTAACAAACTATTGATTTTATAGTCATTGCTTCCATTGAGTAATAATTTAAGAAGCTAGTCAACCTTGATAAACTAGGCTTGATATTTATTCACTAAAGTAGCCACAATGGTCAAAATTATTTGCTTCATGGCTTCATAAGGCCCTATTAATAGTTGATATAGAAGAAAATTGTCCCCCATGCATTGGTTTAAATATCCAGTGTTTCTTGGGCGTGCCCAATAACTTGTTAGAATCAAGTTTATTAATGCAGCTACAATGCAGGTAGCAATTTAAAGGGACCCATGTGGTTCAGATTAGAGAAACTACAGGGGCAAATGAATTTTTTTCATTCTATTTACAAAAGTAGACATGTAACTCTTTGATCTAAAATTAAGTCATAAATTTGTGAAGACTGCCTGCAGTGTCTCAACCTGTGAAATGAGATTAGCAAGATTGCATGTGAATTTTTAGTTAATTGCATTATTTTTCCTCTTTCAATTTGGAGAAGCTCATGGAAAATCTTTTTGGTTTGCAGCCTATTTTATACTACGAAGTTTTTAGGTTAGCTTAAAATTGATATTTAATACTTTGCATATTTTCCCTCCAATATATAAGTATTCTCAATTGCAAGTTTGTTGGCAACAGTTTCCTACATTGCAAAAGTGTGACTTGAATGTTGATTTATACATAAAATGTTCAATTTTTGGTATACATTGAATGTAAACTGGAAGATATGAATATGAACTGGAAGATCAATTATCCGCAGTGAAGTTTTCCAGTGTTAACTTTGTAAACTACAGCATCTTAACTTTCAATAGTGACTCAAGTTTTTGTAGCCACTACTACACCATTTCCTTGTCAGATGATAGAATTCAGCCAGTGTCATGATGCATAAATGAATCAAATTGACTTTAAAAGTAGCTATTGAATTTACCCAATTAAAGTCATGCAGCAAGTGGGGCCCTTCTGGGATTTTGAATGTGGATGCAGGATAATTCAATATTCTCAAAATTTTAAAGTACATTTTTCACACATCCCCACACCCCCCCCCCCCCCAAAATTAAAGTAGAGCATGTTTTAAAATATACACTTTAGTTGTAATACAGCATTTCTATGAAGTATTAATTTGGCTTTGCATTTGAATTTTTGATCCCTAACTTTGCATTTATATCTGTAAATTGAATGTGATCTTACCTGAATGTTTTGGGAAAAGATCTCTAAGTTAATATTTATGCATGCAAGTGATTACACTTGTTGATTTGCATCATGCACACGTATACAATTAGATAAATAGAAAATACTTTGCAATATCAGGTACTTACCAAAATATGGAAGATTTTTATATGTTGTTTCTTGCTTGCAAATTTGGGTTGCCGTTTTAAGGATACCTACAAATCTGTTTATTGCAGTGAACTCGATAAGGCTTGTGTGTACACTCTTATGTGGTAATCTATTATAGAGTTACATGGGTTAGTAATGTGGGTATGTACAAAATGAACTGTTGCTTCCTTTTAGAACTAATAAGGTTAGTCATTTTGCCCACGGGTGGCCAATTAAAAGCGTTGAAATAGTGAGACTTGTCAGGTTGTATTTATGATGTTAGGTGGTTCAAGTAAATGTTTATTGGAGAAGTGTTTAAATTTCTACTCATGCCCCCTCCTTACCAAAATGATGCAAAACAAATCCTGACTACTTTTGACTATGTATGTTCATAGAACTGATTTTTTTAAAACAATGATTTGAAGTCAAAATTTTTCAAATGTAAATTAAAATGGTGCTTCTAAATTTTTGCATATAATGTTTTTTGAAGCATTCAGCTGCTTTTGGTTTTTGATCTTTAAATTTGCATTTAATGCTAATACATGAAATAATACAATAATTATAAAGTATTTCAAATTGATTGTTATGCACATCTTATAGTTAGTGTTTTCTGAATGCAAATGATTGCATGGCAGAAATGAGCAATCTTGTAAAATGTGCCGTAATTCAGTCAATTGACATCTCACAATGTCAGGCACTTGACCAAAATACGAAGAATTTAAAGGTAGATTTTCACTGCTTGTAAACTTGGCTTCCTGCTTGACGAATGAATATGAAAATATTTATTGCGCTGGTCACTAGACTCAGAAGATAAGGCTTGTGTGTATACTCTTTTATGTCACCTTTGTTGTAGAGTTGTACAGGTTAGTAATATGGTAATTTACAATATGATGTGTTGCTTCCTTTTAGAACTGATTTTGCCTTTGAGTAGTCAATTAAAAGAAGGGAAATAATTTTGTCAGATGGTATTCATGGTGTTTGGGGTGGGGGAATGCTCAGTAACAATGTTCATTGGAGAATCTCAACATGTTTCCACCATCAGCCCTCTGGCCACGATGTAGAATCCTTATTGTTGGTAAAGCAGTTATCATCAGAGGCAGATCACCTTTGCTTCTGCAAACATTTTGTTACAGTACAAAGATCCAGAGATGTGCAAGTTAGATGGATTGACCATGCTAAATTGCCCATAGTGTCCAGACCAGGTAGGTTAGCAATGGAAAATGCAGGGTTGGGTGGTGGGGATCTGAGTGGGATGCTTGAGAGAGTTGATGTGGACATGATGGGCTGAATGGCCTGCTTCCACACTGTAGAAATTTTATGATTGAATCAGCTGTTTAGATATCATTTAGGTGAGTGGCTTGTCAGTCGGTCAAGAAAAATTACCTGTTTAAAAGTTAGATGGATTGTGGAATTCCATTTCTCTCAAGTTAATTAGAAAGGGACGCTGTCAAGCCCTCTTTGCCTTAGTGAACTATACCTCCCTCACTACAGTTGTGGAGAAATGAGAAATCTAGATTGCCCTGTTTCACTAGCAGGATTAAGTGTGATATAAATGGGAGGGAAGCAATGTAAATGCAATAAAAAAGGTATGTGGTTATCTATATGACTATTTTTCAATTGTTTAATTTAACCTTAATTAAAATTCTTGAGTATAGATTGTTGTATAGCTTACAGCAATGCATTGCATTACTCTTAGCTATTATGTTGGATCTAATCTCAACTGAGTTTAGGGCAGAGTTGTAGCAATTGACTATTGCCATGCTGTCATTTCATGGTTCCCTCTAAGCTATGTCACTGGAGATGGGCTAGACATTTTCATACCTATATGTGCTACAAAACAAAGGAGGTCTGTGCAGTTGGTTTTGTTCTCAATCTATGAAAGCTCTGAAGATTATCATCTTCAGTGACAAAGCCCAGAGGGAGCCATGACCAAGGCAACACACAACAGTTAATTACTGCAACAATGGCTCAAATGCAGCTAAGACTGGATCCATTTTAATAGTTGAGAGTAATCATTCTCTCAGTAAGTGATATAATAATCAGGAATTTGAATTAATTTTTTGTTTAGTTTGACTACTTCTATGCATATAGCCAGTTGGGTCTGAGGCACAGTGATAGTGATTATTTCTTTCTCGCAGTGCGTTGCTAAAAGGATTTCCTGCAGCTGTATTCATAACTTTAAGATTCATATTTACACACAGACACCTTTTTGAATTCATCATTAGCAAACCTTCCCTCTCCTTCGCGCTCTTGCCACACCTCTAGTATTATCAATGAGAAATCTTGCTGGTGGTTCAAGTCCCTATCCATTTTTCCATTGCCTTGCTGACTGTTGTTTTCCTATCTTTGCTACATTTTAGTGTTGGGTTGACAAAATCTGGTTGCCAAATCTACATAATGAAAAAGTGCTTTTTGTTTTTGCCTTTTCCCATACTTTTAAATCCATAGCCATAACTTCACTGAAATGTCTTGCTAAAGGCAGACTTACTATAGGTTGTGACAGTGTCCTTAGATTTTTTTTCATGTATCACTTGAGCCTGTCATACTTACCATCCCTTATTTCTGCATCCTTTTAATACATTTTTTAACCTTTTTGGAGGATGGAGGCATAAATCACAAATTGTAATTTTAATCCCACTCTCCTTCCCAATCTCAGCGCCCTTTAATATCTCACCCTGATTTTTTTGAGTCCAATACTTAAGCTAATTTGCAACATAGCTTTGAATAGTACCTGGTTGTGTGCTCTAGCTGTGAGGAAATCACACTTAAGTACTATTTGGTGGTAAAAGTCCAGTTTCAGATGTAGCATAATGAATCTTATTGAGGTCTTACATAGCAGATGAGTAGAAATGCCAGCACTCCAATATGGAGTTTGAGTGTTTACTTACATACGAGGATAGGACTTGCACTTTATTGTGCCTTTCACAGCATCTAGACATTATATTGCACTTTCAAGCCATTGAAGTACTTTTCAAATGTAATTATTGATCTGATGTATAATCCAGGCAGCCCATGTGTGCATAGCAA